TTTTTTTTTTTTTTTTTTTTTTTTTTTTTTTTTTTTTTTTTTTTTTTTTTTTTTTTTTTTTTTTTTTTTTTTTTTTTTTTTTTTTTTTTTTTTTTTTTTTTTTTTTTTTTTGTATATTTCATTTATTATTCACTGGGGGAGGGTAAAAGTGTAAATTAATCGAGAGACGACATGAAACCAATTAAATAATTGCACTAACATTTAATTTATGGGAATTGTTTAATAATATAGCACAAAGCAATGGAACATCCTGGGGCTTGCAATCAATTTCTAAAAGAACAATCTTCCAAAAAGATGATAAACTTGGAGCATAAAAGATGATAAACTTCTTGCAACTAATAAGCTAATAAATAGTAGAAAAATAGTAATTTTTTCTTCAAAGAGATGAGAAAATGGGGAAACCAGGTAATGTAGCTCCCGCATCGACAATGTAAACGTTACCCGAGACGTACCTAGAAGAGTCGTGCACGAGATAACGGATGAGCGATGTTAGCGCTGGATCAGAAGTTCCAAATGTTCTTAGAGGGGTAGTTTTGAATGCTACAGTCTTTAGCCAATCTTTCTTTAGAAGTCCCTCTGTAATCTCAGATTTAAAAAGTCCCGGTGCTATAGAATTTACTCTGATGTTGTGTGGCCCTAATTCAAGAGCCATAACCTGCATAACCAAATCAAGTATAACATGAACCACACGCATTCAAGAACGCATAGTGAAAATTGAAAAGAAAATATCATCGACTGTTTGTTTAGTTGGAGATTGTGAAGGAAAGCGATTCGAATCTCAGACTTCTCGGTAGAAGGCATAAGAGTTAACCAGTTGGGTTGTTCTAGGGATGATGGTGGTATGAAGATTTTGATAATCTCAAACAATTTGCCAATCCAACTTTTAAAATTGATCTCATGAGCTACACAGTTCTTCATATGATGAATTCATAAACTAAACACAAACTGTGCAAACTTATGCTTCTAACTTCTAAGCAATTACCAATTCAGTACACATTTCAAGCACAAACTACATATATATACCTTCCCATTTCCCACCTACCAGCTTGGATTTACACAAACTAAAGTTGATTAAAACTAAAAGACAAACAACACTCCCACAACATATAGAGGAAGAACTAGTTCATACAAAGAAACATTACCTTTGTCAAAGTGTTTATGGCTACCTTTGAAGCAGCATAGGCAAGGCCACCAGGTAGTTGCCCTCTTTCAATACCAGAAATCGAAGAAATACTGATCACCGATCCGCCTCGTTTTGTGTCACGCATGCGTGTGCACACATGTTTCGATACTAACCAAGATCCTTTAATATTTGTTCCCATCACTTGATCCCATTCCTCTTCAGACAATTCTAGAGAAGTCTTCACAGTACCTACATGGTATAATGAAATGGCCATTGAAATACAGAGTTAACAATATAAGCTTCTTCAACTAAAATCAAAGAAGAAATTAAGTAAATCTAGCCTCCTCTTTTTCATATCTAGCATGTATATTCAGACATTTCCCTCTTCTTGAAGATCAAGTCATAATCCATATTTTGCAGCAATCAATTGAATATTCAACAGTTCCGACAGCGAATAATGTCTATAATCGAGCTCGACCAAACCCTACTAAAAATTCGATAAGTTTCCTAGATATTCAAACAGAAACAGGATTCGAATCCGGAAGAAAACTACCTCGAAAACCTGCATTGTTCACCAACGCGTCAATAAATCCGAACGCATCCCATGCATTTCTGACGGATTTCTCGATGCTCTTCTCATCTGCACTAACATCGAGCTCCACAGCCACCGCGCGTGGGCCATCAACCGCCGAGACGGAAGAAGATGAAGCAAAATCGAGTCGATTAATTTCTTCACAGAGAGATTGAAGTCTATCGACTCGCCGAGCGGCGGCGACAATTTTACAACCGGCTTTAGCAAGATCGAGACAAAACTCGCGACCGAGGCCGGAAGAAGCTCCGGTGACCATCACCACTTTTCCGTGCAGCGTGTTCCAAGGCTCGAGGTGAGTAGTAGAAGGTTGCTGGACCGCCATAAGTCCCGGTGAAGAAGCTGCAAAGAAACAGACAAAGCAAACAGAGAGGAGGAGGAGGAGGAGAAGATTGGTTCAACAAAAGGCAGCAATGGAAATAAATAAATAAATAAAAAAACGTGTGTTTATATTGTTCGCACGTGTGATCCTACACCTACCACCGGTTTAAACGTGTGTTTATATTGTTAAGCTCACGACTTAATGAAGTTTGTTTTCAAAATTAATGCATATTAATTAGGCATTAACGGAACAATTAAGGATATGGTTTAAGTCAACAAAGTTACATAAATCCACTTTATTTAATACCTTGTTAGCTATAATAATAAAAATAATGTTTTTTTCTTTTGAGAATAATAAAATGAGTTATAATTGTAATATAGGTTTTATAAAGTTTTTTAGTCATTAACACAATATTTTATGTCATTGTTACATTCAGCTTTTGTCCAACATTACCACATATTTCTATTTAAAAGGGTAATTCTACTTCAACCCTAATTTTGGAAATTATCGCAGTCATGACATGTTTTTCAAGGTTTCGAATCACATATAGCGACAGAGACTAACACAAATTTTTATTTTTCGAATCACATATAGCGACAGAGACTAACACATATTTCTCGATGCCATGACCAAGTGAGCTGTGATGGCCGAAGACACTCCGTCACATGGAATGACATCAAGATGTATGAGGCATGTTAATTAAGAACCAAGATGAGTCGATGAGATGCGAGTTACATTGAGAGACCTTGGCCCCAAGTAGAGGCAAGGTCGTTTCGAATGACTTGGATTGTGCACAAGCGAGGTCAAGGTCTGTGCGGTAGAACAAGCGTGTAGGCGGGGCCAAGACCTTGTTTAGCAAACAATTCAATATGCACGAGCAGTCACTATGTGTGGTCGAACAAGCTTGGATTCTACACAACCAATGTTTGGTTGACGAAGAAAAATCTCGCTTAAGGTCTAACGAAGCCATGAAGTCAGGTAAAAATGAATACGAGACTTGAGTTTCCCATAAGCCTTGTAGTGAAAGTGACAAGATCACAGCAGCGCACAGTTGAAAAAGTACGACCATGTTAGTGGTATGAGAGCCACACTTTGTGTGTATAGTCAGACAAGATAGAGAACCTAAGGGTTAACTAAGACCTTGCAAGAGTGTCAAGAGTGTCAAAATGGGCAGGATAGTTGCGAGTGAGAATTAGAATCGATTGTGGGTTCAAGCTAAGACTCCCCGAAGTTCATTAGTTTCGTGTTTCGACACCTCAATGTGAGAGATCTACCTGTCAAGCTAGAACCAAGCTCATTTGCCAAGGGCTTGGGCTTCCAATGTGGGCAAGAGATGAAATAGAAGACACATCCAGTTGGGTGTATTCCAAAGAAGCCGAGGGTCAAGACAAAACAAGCATTGACCAAGTGCCAAGTTGAGCATAATGCAAGTCCTTAGGGGAACGACCTTGCTGTAGAGAGGCAGCCAAGTTTGAGTGGGATAGGGCCTGAGTGAATGGGTTTCTCACCCTGTGAACATGCTCCTAGGTGCAAGCACGCTTGTATTCCTTGGGTCATTGCCTCGAGCCTAAAGTGGGTAGTTTCACAAGAGTTATCAAGACTAGCATTCGTCGAGATTGAGAATCAGCTGGAAGTGGGAATGGAGAAGTGAAGCTGCAAGAAGACCATCGAAGTGTCAAGGTAGTGATCACCACATGAAGGTGCCCAATCAAGGGTTGGCTGAAGTGTAGCACCAACATGGGGCTGGGTTACAAGCTTTCAGACAATTCTACTATATAGGTTTGTGCAACGATGAGTAAATGATGTGGTTGGTTTGCGAGCTGATGTCTATTGACCGAGGAAATCGACATTGGTGAGAGAAAATTGTTGAAGGAGAAAAAACAGGTCGAAGAAAAATTTGTTGGAGAAGAATGAAAACAGAAAGCATAAGAAAATAACAGAGAGTACGAAAGCTTGAGATTTGATTTTGCTAAAATAAACACGGTACTTATGTTTCTCATTTAATTTGACTATTTAAAACAAATTACATTCTAAAGATCGCCCAAATGGCAAGCAAAAAATACTTTATTCCCCTGTATGTGTACCTTAATTCAGGGTGTAGTTTAAATCAGGTAGCCTAAAAAACAGAATTCAACTAAGTTTAAGGAAAACGTGAATAACCTAAATAAAGAAAAGCCACAGCCTTTTATCTAACAATCTACTCCTAAAGTTTTGGTATATCTACCTTATTATTTGAAATCAGATCTTTGAACGAAGTTCCTAAAATTTTCCCTGCGCTAGAGACTTGGTGACTTGGTGAAAATGTAGTTCAAGCTGTTTCTCTATTCTAATGAAGTAAATCTTGATAAGCCCCTGATCTGCACACTCTCAGATGTAATGGAACCTGATCTTTATGTGTTTACTCCGGTCATGCAAAACTGGATTTTTGATCAGGAAGATTGTAGCTTTGTTGTCCACGTAAAGCATTGGTGGATCGCCTTCTTTTCCGATGAGTTCTTCCATCAGCCACTCAAGACAAACTCCTATGTTGTCGTCGTCGAAGCGGCGATGTACTTTACTTCGCAAGAAGACAAAGCAAAGATGCGCTTGAGAGGAAGTAAATCATCTCCCTGCACAGCAGATCGCGTCACCTGAGAGGAAGTAAATCATCCCGCTGGTGCTCCTACGATCATCAACGTCATCGATCATGTCACTATCACTGTAGCCAACCAGCTCAAGCTTCTCCTTTCCTCTCCCTGCACAGTATCTCACACCCTAGCCTCTGGTTCCAGCCACATAGCGCAGAATGCGCTTGACAGCCTCAAGATGCTCCTCCCTAAGTGCTTCCATAAATACTCACATATCCAATTGGAATATGCGAGGTAAGGGCGTGTGTTTACCAAATAGTGCAGGCTCCCGACAATGCTGCGTGTCGACTGTCATCGTAGTGCCGACCTTTCTTAGCTGGAGTCGGGCCTCCTTTGGCGTCCTTGTAGGGTTACTGTCCGCTAGCTCAGCTGTGTCCAACTGATTATTCACTTACGCACTTTGGCAGATGGTGATGCTGGCAATACTCTATTGCACTCCAATGTTGAGGTAGTAGTTGAGCACGCCGAGATCGCTCATCTTGAAGTTCTTTGACATCTTCCTCTTGAATCTTCCAAGAACTTTCATGTCACCTCTAGTGATTATAAGGTCGTTAACGTACACTCCCAAAATAAGACGCTACTCACCGTGGCCATGCGTGTGCATGCCTTGCTCAGAGGCACAGTGCTTAAACTTTAGCGACAGTAGGGTACTATCAAGCTTCGCATTCAAGGCTCGTGGTGCTTGCCAAAGCCCGTAGAGTGCCTTGTTTAAGTGCAGTACCATGTCAGGGTTGTCGTTGTCCAGGAAGCTAGGTGGTTGTTGAACATAGACAGTCTTCTTCAGCTCTCTATTGAGGAAAGCGGACTTCACGTACATGTGGTTGACCTCCCAAGAGCAATGTGTCGCGATTACCAACAATAGGTGGACGGATTCCAACCTTGCCACCGACGCGAATACCTCTTCGAAGTCTGCTCCTTGCTTCTAGATGTAGCCCTTCACCACCAGACAAGCTTTGTATTTCACAACTTCTCCCTCTTCGTTCCGCTTTAGTTTGAACATCCATTTGAGCCCTATGGCTCGGCGTCTTGATTGACCAAACTCCACGTCTTGTTCTCAGTGATGGACGTCATCTCTTCTTGCATTTCCTTCAGCTAGCACAGGTTCCTTTCTGCTTCGGCGAAGGAGTTTGGTTCATCCATGCTGATGGCATGCAGTTCATCCACTTCTTTTTTGAGCTCGCACGTCGCCAGTCCTGGTAGTTCACCCCCTCCTAGTAGATCTTCAATCCTTCGATATCTGGCCACCAAACTGTCATCATGATCGGCATTCAGTGTCAAGTCCGCAGTACGTGGTGTGGTGAACTCCACTTGTTCAAGAGGCGTAGCAAGAGTTGTGGTTGGTGTTGGCGTAGGCGTGTCCAGTGCAGCTGCTGGCGGTGGTGACAGTGCCAGACACTGTGCTCCTCCTTCTCCCGGCTCGGTGATGAAGTACTCCACCGTGAATTGATTTGGGTTTTGGTTCACCTCGATCACATCATTCCACTGCCAGAAGGTGTTCTTGTCAAAGATGACGTCGCATGACACGTGAGCTCATCCCCCCACAGGGTCATAGAGCCTATACGCCTTGCTCTCAGGTTCGTAGCCGATGAAGATGACCTTTAGCCCCCTAGGATCAAGCTTCGCAAGGTGGGGATGCATGATCTTCATGTATGCGACGCAGCCGTACACTCGGAGATGATGTATCGTTGGCTTCTTATTGTACCAGGTCTTGTGTGGCGTCTTCCCGTCTAGGCTTAGCATTGGAGACCAATTCAAGAGATAGACAACTGTCATGACCGCCTCTCCCCAGAATCTCCCGAGCATCCCGACCCTTATCAATAATGACCTTGCCGTCCCGATGATGGTATGATTTTGGGCTCTACCACCCCCATTCTACTGAGGGGAGTACGACGTCTTTAGATGCCGCTACATGTCGAGCTCGTTGCAGTATTTGTCGAAGCTCACCGAGGGGAATTCTCTACCTCGGTCTGTGCGCAGCACTCACATCTTCTTCTCGTATTCAGTCTCTGCTCATGCTTGAATGCGCTTAATCGCCTCTACCACCTCACTTTTTTGCTTGCAGCAGGATCAGCCACATGAAGCGGCTTTTTTCATCGACCATTAGAAGGAAGAGGGTCTTGCCGCCTGGGGTTGCCGGCTTGATGGGTCCACAAATATCGCCGTTCACGAGCTCCAACGGCTCACCGACGCGGTAGGATACCTGAGACGGAAAGGGGGTGCACCTCTACTTGTCAATGAGACACCCGTTGCACAGCCTGTTCATGCCTTCGATTGTTGGCAAACCGTACACCATCTCCTCCTTGTGTAGTTTTTGTAGAGCCGAGAAGCTCAGGTGCCCATACCTAGTGTGCCACCTCCAAGCTACTTCTTCGGTCCTGGCAGAGAAGTTGACCGACTGCTCAATCTCCAACTCCAGGATGTAGAGGCGGTTTGTCGTGCACCAAACTTGCTTAAGCAACTATCGTCG